AATGAAGACAGACAAAAAACAAAACAAAAAAGAATGAAAAGAAAGTGAATTACAGTTTGCATCATAGGTTGTTTTCAGTGTTCAGAAATGGTTTAATTTTAAGCAGATTTTCAAGAAGCAGTAAGACAGAAACAATTACACGAATGGCTACAGACCCTAAGAATAGTCTTTCCAGCCCAGATAATGTGGGAAGAACTTTTATTAGGTAGACATTGGTTTTATATACTTATTCAGATAATATTAATCACTTTCATTACAAAAATGTATGTGGGGAACTTGATCTTGTTTGCAATAACAGATATATCAGAATAGAAAGAGATGATCTAAGCAATTATTAGTTTTATGATACTTATACTTTAGTTAAAAATAGTGGATTGTGAGCTATAAAAGTCTTTGTATTTTAAGTAGCCACTATTATAATATTTTTATCCTTGAGTTAGGTAGATGTCTGGGCTTGAATAATTTCTTTGGAAGAGATTCTGAAGGACTTGCATTTTTGGAGTAATTACCTCTTAGCTGAGAATGTTCTCCATGCTATTTATGCCCCAACACATTGCATAAGTGCCTTGAGAGCAGAAGAGAAACAGGATTTAATAATCAAATGCTTTTTCCCTCTCTAAAATTTTCTTCTAGATCCCCTACCTAACTCCAGCATAGCATATAAATGCCTGAACACTCACAGTTTAAATTTCTAAGACTCTTGAAACATTTTTATAAAATTAGGGAAGCACTTCCTTCTGTAAAAAATGCATTACTCTTCAATGATATATTTTCACATTATCACATACAAGCATCCAGAATTAAACACAGGTATATATCTCAAAAATATTTTTCTTAGGCTTTAAATCCCTTTAATAATGTGGGTTATAAAAGTAATTAGAGGTGAAATAAATACCTCAGTTTAGATTCAAAATGACCCACTTTTGTATATTTATTTTTATAAGAGTACATACATACCTGATACATACTCTTATGAGACCAACATTTAGAGTTCTAACAAACACTTAGAGTTCAATTAATAGAACTTCTTTGTATTGTCCTTTTCTGTCAGTATTTTTTCCTTAGGCTTTTAAGTTATTTTATTAGTTAGGTAGACTTTCTGCTCACCAAGAATATGTGGAAGGTACTCATATATGCATCACCTTACACCTTTTCTAGAAAGTTTAATTTTCATGTTAAGAGTTTAATATTTCTAGTTTATTTTTCCACTGTTCGAAGTCTAGACACAACTCACTTTTCCATAGATTTGTTCTTCTGGTGTTGATGTAATTTAAAAGTAGTACATGTGCTAAACTATACATTTACAGTAACAATTCCACATACTCATTTTCTGTAATAAAATTTTATTCTTGTAATAAGCATATAAACCTAATTATGATAAAATAGTACTTAATTATTTTTAATATGTTTTGGTTAAAAGTTATTTTATTTTCTTACTATTTTACTGCATCACTGTTTATCTCACAGATTTTTTACTTATTCTTGCACATTTTCTGTTCTGAAAGAATCTGTCTACATTCGATAAAACCATCTTAGTTGGGTTTGAGGTAACATTGTACTAGACGTTTAGATTAATTTAGTAGGTGTTACAGAATTCTTTATATAAATATTGCACACTGCTTTTCAGTTTAATTTTGTTGTTGTTTTTTTGTTTTTTATACCGGCACCAGGGATCGAACTCATGACTAATGCTTGCAAAGCAGGCGCTTATGCCGCTGAGCTAAATCCCCAGCCCATCAGTTTAATTTTCACTGCATTCTCTTTTCTTCCTGACTTCCTTTTTCTGTCTTCTCTCTTTCTCTTATTTTCTCTCAGGAAACTTTGCTTTCCTCCTCTCCTTCCTTCCTTTGTTACCTTCCTCTTCTCTTCCTCCTGGCCTCACCACCTTCCTCTAACATCTTTCTTTTTGAAAAGGAGTACATTTTTACAATATTACAAGTTAATAGTAGTACCAGAAATATCTGAAATAAATTCTTAAAATTGCCTACTCAATATGAAGTATTCAAATGTTAGCTATAACTTTTTATAAATATTGCTTTTGTTGAGTTTATCTTTTTTTTAAATAATTTTTTTTGTCTTTTTCTTTTTTATCAGTACCCAGGATGGAACTCATGACCACACACTTGCAAGGCAGGTGCTTATGCCACTGAGATAAATCCCCAGCCTTTATCTGGTTACTTTATTGAATGATCTTATCTATGCTAATAATGTAGATAACGTAGTTGAAGAAAATACCATCTGCAAATAGTGACCATTTTGTCTCCTTGTAGCTGTACGTGTTATTTCTCTCCTTTTGAGTTGAGAAGGACCTGCAATTTTACACTTTAAAATAACTAAACATTTTTGCTTTCTTCCCTCTCTACCAGGTAACAATAGTGGGAAAGATTCTGTTGATATTTACCCTTGGTTAGTGCCTTGTACCCTTGGTGTATGCAAGTCTGGGTCTTCTTTGTTTAGTAAATCCATTTAGTCATACTCAGAGTTATGTTAAAACAATCTGACTTAATTCACCGTCATACACCCATGATCCATTTTCACACACTCATGATCCAATCACCTCTCAAAAGCTCCACCTGAGAGCACATGAGGCTTTAAGGGACATTTTAGATATAAACCATGTCAGTAAGTGTTTCATCTTTTCAAATTTCTTGAAAGTATTGAAATAAAGATACCCTTTGTTTCTTGAAAAAGTGGTTGAATGATTCCACTCTTCTGAATCAGTTCTACTATGCTGCTCCTTGTAATATGAAGTACAAGGAAATTAGATTAGCTAGAAGGGCTGATTGAATTGGTTTCAGAAAGAACAAACATAAAATTGCAGCATTAGGAACTTCTGACAAGTAGTTCTCTACTTTTTATTGTTTAATGGTCATCTTCCAATGTCTAAAACTTAAGCTTCATGAATATTTCTCCTGTCTATTAACTGGTGTATTTCCTGCATCTAAAGGGCTATGAGCACAATAGTAGAAATCTGAGTAAATGTGGGTTGCCCAATAAATTAGAAAGCGATATTAGATCTTGTTTTTAGTGTGACTGGATGTTTCTTTAGGATGATGTGAGAAAATTTTACATAGTATAATACTATGACTCTCAGAATATTGATTTTTTTTAGTATTCTTTGCCAAATACCTTATCTGCTTAAAAACTGGCATTTTTGATTCATGAAAATCTGTGTGCATAGTTTTGTTCCCTCTATTCAGGTTTATAAACTCACTTTATTCCAGTACTAGATTTATTAATTACCTTTTGAATCCAAGTGGAAGTAAGGAGGAAGAAGATAAGGAGAAAAAAAAAAAACTGGCTCTAGGTAACAACAATTTCTGTTTTTTTTTTTTTTTTCAATGTCAGATATGTAATAAAGTTAAATATTTCCTTCCTATCAGTTGATACGAGATAGGAGAAGAGGGCATGGCAAAACTGACTGAGGAAGCAGGCACGACCTGTTAATTACAAGATCCTGTGTGCACACACATCCACAGCATAGTTCCCAAAGCCCTTCACGTGCACCTTTTATTGGAACCCCAGCAGGTTCTCAATAGGATGACCTACACTTAACATTAGCTCGAGGTGTGGGATCCCAGCACCGCCTTCAAGGGCCCTATGTAGAAGGTCTCGCGATTTTCCTCGAGATGTGGATAGTCTAAGAAGAGAGAGGACAGTAAAAGGTGGCTTTCCTGACTTTTTCCAAGTTAGCCTGCTCTGCTTTCTTCAGAGGGCCCTTTTATTACTTTCTCTTTTTACTTGGCCCAAACTTACTCTGCAGAGCCAGTTTCTTTCTCACGCTTCACTTACTTCCAGAGTGAACTTTGCCAATGTTTTTTGTTCATTTCATCCAGTTCTTTGTTCCAGACTAAAAGAACCTGGAATCTATCTCCGGAAAAAGAGGTAACCAATCCAGAACCCAGTAACATTTAATTGGTGAGTCACTTTTAGAAGCAGCCTATCTGGTGCCAGATTCACTCAATTTCCTAAAAATACCAATCAGAAGTTATTAAAAAGATAGTAATGTTTCTCCAAATAGACAGATTCAATCCATGTGTAGTAAATTGGCAATAATTAATGCTAAAAGAATCACTGATTTTATTGTTGTGCATAGATTTTTAAATCTTTTTAAAAAATGGTAATAGAGGGGAAAAAACTAAATTCAAAATGGAGTGACAAAATAAATGTTAAACTCCTTCATCTGGGCCTCAGATTCAATTCTGTCTGGTATAGTATTTCTAAGTATCTAATGGAGAAAGATTACAGAAAGTAAGTAATGGAATAGTTTTAGTAGTATTGAAAATCGGTGAAAATAAGTATGAAGATTCATCATTTAGTATATTACATTTATCTTGTCATTGCACACTAGAAATTAGGCTAGAATGCTTCCTCCAAAGTTTTTTCCCTTTTTCCCCCCCTAATTTTGAAGTATTACGGAAGGAAGTATAACAAGTTTATGTTCATTGATTTTCAAACAAAATAGAATTGATTATGTCAAAAACCTTGCAGTTATCTACTGGTATTACATGTTTTAAAAATGAGAAATTAGTTATTGAAGATGCCAGTGCAAACTGTAGATCTTATTTTTTCTTGAGAACCTATGATTTGAAAACATGGTGTTGTTATTCATCTACATTAGTATCAAATCTTAATTCAGAAATCTAGAGTTGGTCTTTTCTCTATTCCTCTCTTTCTGGAACTGAATTTCCTTATTTTCTCTTGAGTTTTACAGAAGAAATGCTAGTTGCAGGCTCAAGTACTAATGCTATCCAGTCAATGTAAATTTCCAGGAACATTTTCTCATGGGATGTTCTAAATTTTGGGGGTCTTTGGAGAAGGTATATTTAAGGCTCACAAAACAGAATCAGGAGCAAAACTCTTTTTAAAAATGTGTATTTATTGGTTTAATAAAACTCGAAATAGTAACTCTCATTTTTAAAAATGGAACACGTTGAAAACTTCTGTAGGAAAACATTTTAAAAGTTATTTTTAGGAATACGGGGTGGAGTTGGCCTTAGAAAAATAAGATCAGCAATAAAAAAGGAAGTTAAAATAATGTATCTTTGGTTTAAGTCTGCATGTTTCCAGAAAACTGGGCTGATTTGAAGGAGCAAAATAACAAAATGAACGAAGTAAAGCTTGCTGTAATGGGTGATAAAGGCACCGGGAAATCTGGTGAGTGGTCCTCTTTTCTCTGTGATGATATAGTGTAAAATGATTAAGAAACATACTGACATATTAGATAATAACCATACATAACTACATGTGTTCAGTAATTCATTGTCTGGAATCACAGGCACATTATTTTTCAGCAGAATCTTTCAGTGTTATAGAAAATTTCAATTTATTTATAAATGTAGGGATAGCAAGATGACTTTGAAATATTGATTTGTATGTTATTCTATTGAGTTTTAAATTTTCTTTTTGTTGTATAGTACATGTTTGCAGTAGCTAATGATTGTATTCATGATGGCAAGGTGGGTGGTACATATACGTAATACATTTTCATTATTTTTCACTTCCCTTTCCTCTTCTCTCCTTGATAATGCTTAACATTAGAAGAAATAATAGTTAAGTGTCTTCATCATTATCCCACTTAGTTCTCATTTCAGTGCACCTAATCTGAAAGCCACCAGGGGCAAAAACATGACTTTGAGAGGATTATTCTGCTCTTTAGAGTAAGGAAAAAGGCAGATGCATGAGGATGGTAGTGTTTGAAATGTAGCAGTTGCTGAGGTTAAAGAATTTTGTAGAGACATACTTTTATGGGTGCCCTGACAATGAACTACATTTGCTCTAATTTTGGAAGTCATGGTTTAGTGTGATTTAGATTTGGTTAACTTTGATTTTGTTCAGGCCTTAATGATGATGTGGATACCTCCAGCATAGCTATGTTAGTCTAAAGAATAAAACCCTGGACATTGGAGGTCCTTGTCATTTTTACATATAGTGCCTTGGAGCCAGATTAAAGTTGATAGAGGAAACAAAAGATGTAATAGTCTTACGTTTAAAATGTGAAGAGAAATGTTGGTATTATAACACCTAAGGTGCAGTGTGTGTTTGCATTCATGAGTTTTAATTTTATGACATAAATGTGTAGAATTCTAAGATCGTATTTTTTCGTTTTTGCAATCACTGTGGTTTAATCATCATGGAAATATTGTTTACTGTAACTTAGACTAGGGTTTAGGAAAATTTTAAGGTCTTTACGAATGTTTGGTGATTCTTAAGCTGATAGGGAAAGTTTTATATATTTTAACTAAATTATCTGTATCATGAAATACAACAAACCTTAAATTTTACTTGTTTTTAGCCCTTATAGTAAGGTTTCTTACCAAACGATTCATTGGAGAATATGCTTCTAATTTTGGTAAGTTATCACTCTATTCTGTTTCTTTCTTATAATTTCAATGTGATAATGAAAGTCCAATTAAAATCATAGAAACATTTTAGCAGAATCTGCAACTTCTTACATTTAATAAGCAACTTATTAATCCATAAATCCTGGTGAGAAATGCCATAGTAGGTACTTGACGAAAAAGTTCTTTCATGATAAAATTCATTGAAATTGAAGCGGGTTTAGAGTTTATAGGCATAGAAAAACATTAAAATTTGGATATTCTTCCCCAAATATTGCAAAAGCTGTGTATATGACTGTAAGTTATGGGAAAAGTTTTGATGACGAAACCAATCTCTCTTGAAACATAAGGAGAAATTAATGCTAAAAGCACAAATAACTTCCAAATAAAGCATGTTATTAAAAAACCAAGATTAGAGGAAAATTATGCCTTTATGATTAAAGATAAGATTAACTAGTTTGATTTATAAATTTCAGAGAAATTCTAAAATAAGTGGGAGAGTTCTGTAGTATAATCTTTGAATCATTTCCCTAACTTTAAGTTTTGTATTATTCTCATAAGAATTAGTTTGGCATGTGGGAGATGTCACAGCACAATAAGTGTGAAATTTCATTATACTTGTGAGTATTGTTTTTGCTCAGTAATTAATCACTAATATAATATTAATATCTGATCTACTCATTTGCTTAATGATAGATGATTTTTTTCTTTATTTAAGAAATAAGAATGAAATAATTATAAAAAATATGGGATTTGGGAGAAAAGAGAATAATTTTACATTCAGTATTACTTATTTCAAGTAACTAATATTTGCAAGTATGTTTTTCTATAAAAGAAAAAGGAGAAATATTTCACATTTATCCATGAGGTATCACTGTAAGAGAATTTCAGAAAATAACTTTAAAGTATTCTATTGTGTTTTTTCTTGCATGTATCTGACATAGTATTTAAGTCTATATGACATTTTTGAACACTTTAGGGCAAGCACTGGGAGCCTAATTATGGAAAGTAGAAATATATGAAAAGGAAAATTCCTAGCATTTGGTTTTTTAGGGGCAAAAGCCAAGTAACAGGGTCAGCATTACATTTAAGTTAAGACTCGGGCATTAGAAAATATTCCTAAGTGCCAATGAAATTAAGGATAAAAATGTAATATCCCAACATTAATAGCAAAAAGAACCTTCACCTTAATCTTTTATATGGTCTAGTTATATAAACAAATGAAATGTTTATACATTTGTAGCTTTCATATCCCAGTGGAAAAAAAAAGACCTAGAAATATTTTGAAAAGATAATAAAATCTGAAGGTCATTGACTCCATGAAAACAAACTAGCAAAAACAACTCCATTTTGTAAGGCTAGAAAGTGAAAAAATAACATTCTTTAAAAATTTGCTAGTTGATTATCTTTGTAGGTAGTTTATTGAAAGTTGAGGATGGATCCTTTTTAATGTCTAGAAGGAGATACTATGGTTCAGAGTCAATAGTACAGATAAGAAGTTTAGAAAAACTCTGGAAATGTAATTTATGATTGTATCAAACTACAACAAATTGGATTAAGTATAATCTAGATAATTTAAAAAGTCAACCTCTCCTCTGGGGAGACATTAACTCCCCAGACATTTGTTCTAGATTTTTCCTATGGGTTATAGAGTACTCACCAGCATGGGTCATGATTATATGGCAATACTGCTATTTTGTAGAGAAGAAGGGCTTTTAAAAATCAAAGCACTGGTTATAGAAATGAAATAATTTATTCATTCCTTCAATAACTATTCATTGAGGGATTATGTTATCTATTATATTCTTTTTAGGCATAAATTTTATAGCAGTGAACCAAAAAGACAAGTACCCAAATCTTCATGAAGTTTACAATTTGGAGGGATGGGTCAGTCAATCCAGATTCTCCTCAATATAACTAACACTGCATATGTCATATGATAATAAATGCTATGAAGAAGAATAAAATGAGAGAGGAAAGGTACGAAAATGGTATGTGGTGATTTAAAATAGTAGAGTTGGGGCAGATCTTGCTAAGGTGATATTCAGAAACATAGTAAAGATAGTCATAGAAGTATCTAGGGATTATATCCCAAACAGTATCTAGGGATTACATCCCAAACAGTCTCATGAGTAATTGCCAAAGTTCCAAGGCAGAAAATTTCTGAAAAATTTAAAAAGTCAGACGATAATATAGATGGAATGAAAAGAAAGTGAAATATAAGCCAGAGAGATCCACAGAAGTGATTGAAGTCATAGAAGAGATGGCTAGATAATGACAGACCTTTCCAGACATTTGAAAAGTTTTGGTTTGATCCCAGAAAGACTGGAGAGATTGGAGCAGTTGGGTTAGACATGTGTTTGCTCTGGCTACAAGTATACTTGCAGTTCTGCATTGAGCATAGAGTAAGGACAGACAGAGTAAGGACAGACAGAAAAGGGTTGAAGGACTGAAAGCAGATAAATGAGGAAGTTTCTCTGCAAAGAATTCGGGTGACTTGAACTACAGTGTTAGCAATGGAAGTAGTGAGACATGTAAAAATTAAAAATACGAGGAGTATAAAAACAGATTTTAATAGAATAAATGTGGGCATGTGACAAAGAATCATGGAAGTTCTTACAGTTTTTACCTAAAAAGTGACACAACCTTTGCAGGCAAATAGGGTTGTTTTAACTGTGCTAAGACTGAGATATTCATTGCATATCCAAATGAGTATTTCCAGTGGCAAGCAGTTGTTTGTCTGGAGCCAGGGGAAGTGGTCTTGGCTAGAGGTATGAATTGGATTAACGAGCAATGATTGGTGTATTAAGGCAGGGAGCTGGTGAGGTCTATGAAGGAATGTACATAGAGGACACCTATGGACTATGTTGGAAGAGTAGGAATGCCTTGGATATGAATTGGCAAGTTGAAGTAACAAGGGATAAAAGAAAAATTAAACAGGTGAATATATGACACTGAAAGTCACATATTTAAGGAAGCAGGAATGATCAACTGCATTAACGTTACTAAAGAGGCAAATTAGAATAAAACAGAACTGACCACTGAGTGTAATAATAGATAAGTTAGATGGAAATTTAATGTATTTGTAAGATGTTGGTAATGAAATGTTAAAGAAGAATGAAGTCATGCTACAGTAGAGAAAGAGGTAGAATTATTGAAGTGATGTTTTTCAGTAGGCTGGAGGGAATCATTACCATTTGGGAGTGACTAAATTGTCCACAAATAGCAACACAGAAACTTCATTCATGGTAAGCGTCCAAGTGAGTAGATAAAGCATCTAAGTCAATAGATACAGTGGCAAAGTTCATTGGTGAGAAACCTATCTAAGGAAGTAACAAGATGTACATGTTTTTAGTTGTTGACAATGAAGAAAAGTCACTACTACACTAAAATGCGACAAGTTGAATTTACTATGATAAGATATGAGTACACTTTTTATTCTGGAGTTTTTCCATGTCAATGGTGAACACATATTTTTCTTTTTGGCAGAATCTATCTATAATAAGCATTTGTGTTTGGAAGGGAAACAGCTGAATCTGGAAATCTATGATCCTTGTTCTCAAGTAAGTTAAGAAAAATATCCTTTTATTATATTTTATTTACTCAATTATGATTTGAAGAAAATTAGATAAGGATATGGAAAGACATTGATAATGTTAAAGCTGAATTTGTTTTAAAATAGTGATTATTAAATTGTTCAGGCTGGGGATTTAGCTCCGCAGCATAAGTGCCTTTCTGGCAAACACGAGATCATGAGTTCAATCCACAGTACAAAAAAAAAAAAAAATCAGAGATTACTTTTAGTGTTATAAATGCTGTTATCTGGATTTTCCATAAATTTATGTCAAAATTATCCTATCACAACTATCTTTAAAATAGCAGCATTAAGTTGGATTTCAATCAGATCATAATATAGTTACCAAAAATTGGTAGTTTAAAGGCTTATCAATTCAGATTCTATCTTCAGTAACTTGTAAATCGTCAATTGCCAAAAGAAAACAATTAAGATATATTTTCTGTGTAAACCTCTGTTTTAACTCAAAATCTTATACTAATTAAAGTGGGATTGCTTATGGTAGAGAAGAAATGGTCACTTGTCTAAGGTTCAAAATTACCACATGGTGTGGTAATTTATATCTATTGTACCGATACCCAGGAGGCTGAGGCAGGAGGATGGAAATTAAAGGCCTATGTAGTGATACACAGTGAATTTCAAGTGAGCCTGCACTGGGTAGAGAGATCCAGTCTCAATAAACCAATCAATCAAACAACGTTCTAGGACAGTTATTTTTTAAAAACAATCTTTGGCTAAATCTTGTCAATATTTTTATTTTTATGGCTTTAAATCAAATGCTAAAAATCAATAGATAACTCCTTTTACTACATAAATAAAAGTTTTTTTCAATACAAATCTCATTATTAATTTAAAAAGTATTTTATCATACCAGATTTTCATAAAAGTAGATATTTTATTATAGAACAGTTGTAAAATGTGGTGGGTACAACCGTGTTGTCGTGCCTTTCTATATTTCAAATTTCAATCCTTTTTAATTAAAGAAAAAAGGTGGTGAGAAAGAAATTGAGTATTTAAAACTTGCACTCTTCAGCTTTATTGAAGCTTCTTCCAGATAGACGTGGTAAATTAACTAGGTAACTAGGTTTAATTAACTAGGTAAAGTGTAAAGTACTGAAGCCTAATCCCAGCACTTTAAATGCACTTTGCTTATTTTAAGTTGCAGAAGACAAAAGTTTCCCTCACAAGTGAGCTTCATTGGGCAGATGGCTTTGTCATTGTATATGATATCAGTGACAGGTCTTCGTTTGCTTTTGCAAAAGCCCTGATGTACAGAATTCGGGAGCCACAAACTAGTCATTGCAAAAGGTAAGATCTTTCATTCTCCTCTTTTTTCCCTTTCTGTAAATCATCATAGAGCTGTAAGCATCATTAGGAAGAATTTAATACAGCTTTCCAATTACAAAATTTAACAGCCCTGAACAATTCACCTTCCCATTCCACAGGAGTTACACGTGTAGTAAAAGGAATTAGATGAGAATGCTTTATATCCTGGCTGCTATAAACAGTTACTTGCCCTGAGTAAATGGCTATTTTACAAGACAGCTTCTATTGTTAACATGACACTCACTTGCAAAATAACATTCCTCTGTATACAAGGTAGTTTGCTTTTCAACCTTTCCTTTTCATGCTCACAAAAATGTTAAGGATAATAAATGAATTCAGATTTATTACATTTGGCACCCTGTGAAGTGCAATTCTTAGTCATTGGGTTGTTCGGTATATTACAGGATAGACTGAATAGGCATATATCTTTCTCCATTTTACCTCCTAAAACAAAGAGATGGTCAACAATTCTCTGTTAATTGTTTTGATACACAGATTGTGAAGAAATATACATTATTACTGTGCCTTAAACAATTGCAATAGTTGACAAACGTGAAAGCATCAGAGTTTTTGATTATTACATGTTTACTATTTTTAAAAATTTTGACTAGGTTTCCTGATTTCAAGTACTTTTGTTCAAAGTGTTTTTAAGGAGTTCTTTGTGCTGTTAATCAGTTTTCTTCTGAGAATGCAAAATAATTCTCTGATCTAGAAAACAAAAAGTACTATATTATTATTATAAATTGGCACACACGTATTTATATCTATTTTACATGCTTACTATCAGGAAACTATGGAAAAGCCATTACAAAAGATACTTCCGAGGAGTTAGTTGATGGACATCCTGTCTACATTTACGTTAATCCACCATAATCTTTAGTGCTCTGTTTCCTGTTTATATATTTTATGACAACATGATAGAAAAAAGTATATAAATTTACTGGGATTTCTTTCATAGATTTGACTTCATATAATACTTTTCATTTCGTAGAATTCTATTATTGTAATCTTTATATCTCTTACATATAAGCAGTATGACAAATGTTGGATATGGAAACAAAATTCTTTGATAGTCTTTCAAATCAAGATAACCATGAAGAACACTTCACATACTATCAAAATATATCATGTGTATCTGACATTTAAAAGACAATCTCTTTATTAATAAATAAGATCTAGAGAATTTCTAGTTCTCAATTCATAAAAAATATGAAAATGTACTATGATATTATAAAATTATATCTGATATTTGTGGCTCATTCTTCAAGATATTTTCACCTCTTCTGTCTTATTTATCCTTTACAATAATTCTATGAACTTGACTGAAAAAGATATTAACACTGTCCATACTGTCATGTAAATAAAAACAATCTTTAGTGGAGTCTGCTGTCAGTAAGAATTAAAGACACTGTGATTATTTGTTTTTCCCTATAGTAAATATTATGATAGGTCCATGCTACTTAAAGGCTAGTATTGTTTTATAATATTATTCAAATCAAAACTCTATTTTTGAACTATTTCATTAGAACTAGGAAAAATACATTGGAACTGGCAGAATATTCTTTTCTTAACAGGGAAAAACTTTTCTTAAACAAAACAGTAGTACAAGGTCACAAGATTAAAATTTTCTCTATAGAATATTATGATGGATGTTAGCAAAACATACAACTTGGCAATGAGCCCTGAATATTTTTGCTTAGGAAAAGTCTATCTAAATTAACTGTTCTGTTCCAGTTAACTGTGAGATACATTTGTGAATCCTCTTTTTGCAAATGATAATGATCATCAAAAAATAGTAAACTTCTCTCAATGCCTAAGACTGTACTAGATAGTTTTATACATATTATTTTATTTAATCTCTTAGAATTCTCTGTGATGAGGATTTATTTAGTTTTTTTTTTTAAATAAAGAAATTGAAAGTTAGAAATGTAAGACTCCTACCTGGCTAGTAAACAAAGTCAAAATGCAAGAATATATGTATATTTGTCCAAATGCTATGCTTTAACTATTCGTTGCTTCTGTGCTATGTACTACATTCTCTCTAAAGTGATTTTTGTAAATAAATGGAGATACGTGCCAATGCCCACATATGTGGACATAATTACACATGTACCCTGAAGAGTTTTCTTGTTTGACATATAATTCTTGGGATATGTCTTCCTTTTTTCCCCTAAAAATAGCATTTGAAAGGATTTTGGCAAACATTGTGTCTCTGTATTTCAGAGTCACAGAACCAGCAGTGCTTTTAGTTGGAAACAAGCAAGACCTCTGTCACGTGCGCGAGGTTGGCTGTGAAGAAGGACAGCGGCTGGCCCTGGATAACCGGTGCCAGTTCTGTGAGCTGTCTGCTGCGGAGCAGTCTCTGGAGGTAGAAATGATGTTCATCAGAATTATCAAGGACATTCTGACAAACTTGAAACTCAAAGAAAAGAGAAGATCCAGTGGTTCTAAATCAGTGGCTAAACTGATCAATAATGTATTTGGAAAGAGAAGGAAATCTGTTTAGTAGACTTGTAATTCTAGGAAATGTATTATATCCAAGTGTTTCAGACATTCACATGGTAATTCAATTTACCCTTTGTATGCAATTTAAAAACTTCTCTTGGAGGCTTGAAATGATGGAGCAAGAGCTACAGCTGTAATTTCAAATATATTGTTTGTCTTTTTGTTGACTATAGCTGGTTCACTCTGTGTCACGTGCCATGTTTCACTTATTGTACTAAATAACACTAGCAGAGGTTTCTTGATGGATTGTTATCCTGTGTGCCAAGTGAACTCTTTAATAAACTTATATAAGTTTATTAAACTACTTTGCAAGGTTTATTTACTTTTGTTTTCTACAGTTCTGTTGCATGAATTGAGTAATACTATTCATACTGTCAATATAGGTTGCAACTTATAATTTTTTTTTATTTAATAGAAACACATAGACTCATTTTTAAAATGTCTTTTTAAAAATCTAGTGAGTTACATGATACATCAACATTTTACACATGAATTAGGGTTTAAGAGATTGTATTCCATGCCCATAAATGAATGTTTTGTAGTTGGTCTCATGATGAAAATGGCTTGTTTTTCTTTTATGTTCTCTCAGGAAGGGTAACCCTTACAGAAAATTAACTTATACAGAAAAGAACACTTTTAGATCAAAATATCAATCTATTTTAGATTATTGAGAAACACACACACTAAAGGGAAGGAAAAATAAAGACACAGGTAAAAATACAACCTGGAGGGTTTTTTGCCATCAAACAAATTTTTTGAAATTATTTGCAGATATTTGTGTCCTTATCAGATTATTTTCACTACCATTGTCTTGAAGACAACATTTATTTTTCCTAGACCACATTACACTCTTACTACTACCCATCAGGAGCTTTTCGACTTACACTCTTTCACGTTGAAGCTGTAGACCTAACTTCAGTTAGATGGTTGATATTTAGGTCCTAGACAAGTTATGCTGATTGTACAAGCAAGGCTGCATGTGTACGTTGTTAATATCCCTAATCAGGGACCTGAGGACTGAAACAGAAAAAGGCTGAGTGAAAGATACCAGATGGCAGTGGGGGAGAAGTGGGCTTTAGAAAAGAGATTCCACTGACATGAACCCACAATAAGTCAAAATTTAACATGTTAACAGTGACACCTAGACATGGTCTATAGGGCTTTACTGACTGTTCCTTAGAACTTTGAGCTTGGTGTTATATTAACATAAAATTAGTAGAAAGAACAGTGTTGTGAGTCTACAGACTAGGTTATCTTTGATTCTTGTGAGAATTCAGGAACTTCATTTACTTGGAAAGTAAGGGGCGGATACTTTGGAGAAGCTTGATGGTAGCTATGTTCCGTAAGTTTGAGCAAAAAAGATCAGCTGTGTTCTCTCTCACTGGATGCGAGTATTGCACTGTGCTCCTTGATATCAACATGGATGGCAGACTCTTGGAAAAGCAGAATCTGGATCTCTGGACTTACAATGCTCTTTTATTTTCACCCACCTAACCCTAAAGAAACTGCTCTGTGGAGCAGTGTCCGTTTCTGATACTGCCTGGCTAGGAACTTAGAAATGATGCAGTTGGGCAGCCACATTGAAGGAAGCTTCATATTGTGGATTGGTGCACGGCTTCTCTCTCTGCCACCATACTCACTGTTATTAGGCTTTGTTATAAGCACAGAGGTGGTCAAGGAAAAAAATAAAGGACATTGACATTTGTTAGCTAGGTATTGTGTTTTAAATATGAAATATCCTCCACCAAGACTCTTATCATAAAGACTTGGTCTCCAATAAAGCTATATTTAGAGATGAAGCCTAAAAGGGGTCATTGGATCAAAAGGGTTTTAACTTTCTTAGTTGTCCATTCATGATATCATAATCTTATGGGATTATTCAGAAGTGATAGAACCAGAAGGTGGAGTCTAACAAAAGGCAGAGTGCCGTGGGGCTTTGTCCTTGGACACTCTGTTCTTCAACCCGTCCTTCTCTGAGTCTTTCTCTTTCTCTTAGTCAGCTGACTATGGACCGAATCTTCTGAAATCATGAACAACAACAACAAAATGTCTTTCCTTCTTTAAGTTCCTTATCTCAGGCATTTGGTCACAGTGCTAGGAACTTAACTAAAACATCGGGACATCCTGTCCATCTGGTTGTAAAGTGATTTATCTTTGACTTTTACTTTCTTGTGGGCATTAATATGATATACAACACAAGTATTGTATGACTTACTTCATGGAGGTATTCACACAGGTTTTCTTTGGACTTTCTGGTCATTATTTTTCCAATAGTACCTCTTACAGACTTACAGATAGCAAAACAAGTTATCAGTGTACTACATGTCACTTTTCCTACCATATAAGAAAGACAATGACATGCACTTCTTGAATGTTTGCTGATTTCCATAAAACGTTTCTGTTAATGAACTGCATTATCTCTTTGCAAGAATATATTAACGCATTGTCTTTCTTTGCCTGATGTTAGTATATTAAGGTAAAGTGAGGAAAATTTCCTAAGAACTTGGGAGAGTCATTGCTATGTAAATGAGAAATGTACTGTTGTGTAAATATTGTAACAAATTCAGTGATGCCCTTTTTTGTTCAACAATTTTTATGGATTTTCTTAAACCTTTCATAAAGATTATGTCTTAATATTGGCTGTATAACTACATATATTCTATATCTGCTATGTGGACACTATATATATTTAGATGTATATGCATTTTAAATTAGTGCAAGCAGTTGTATTTTTTTGTTGTTGCTTGTATTCTTCTGGATTAGCTTTATTTTTATTTGGTTTGTGTTCTTTGGTATATTTTTTGCAATTAATTAAAATTTCTTTGGAGTCATTTACCTTTAAAGTAACATATTTCCCCATTCATGTGTGAGAATTCTGGTGTCCAGTAGTATTTACATTCTTTAACAGCTTAATTCATGCATTTTTCTCTGATGAGTGAGAATATGACTCATCGTATTCTCAGACTTAAAAAGAGAATATTTCTCTTTTTAAGTATATTGTGTATACTTATAGAGAACTATTCTCTTTTTAAGTATACTACTTTTACTTTTATGAATGTTAAATTTTTATTCATTATACTCATATTTTTAGCAAGCTGACTTGGGAAGATGTATCTGTTACTATATCACTGAAATGTAATAAGAATATGAATTTATATTTTCAATATATTTTTAGAAATAGCTGATCATTTTTCAGAGTGATATTTAAAGATACTGTGTTGATTTTTCTTTTGATGTGACAATCTCATGCATGTATACACACATGTTTCTTCTCAAATCAAAATTTGTTTTATTGCCAACCCCCCATTTCCCAGCCTTGCTTATAGATTTGGTTTATTGACTGTCCCTTAACAAACTAAATGAAGTAGAAGTAATATGTATGACTTACAAAGACTGATTAAAAGGAGGTAGAGTGCCCATGATTTTCTATCTCTCTTGTGACTCTGTTTTGGGAGCTGGGAGTCAACGTAGATAAACCCAGCTGCCCTCTAGCCACCAGGCTGGAGATAACATGCAGAGTTAGTGGCCACAACCCACAACCATTAGGTAGTTGAACAATGATTCAAGTGATTCTAAATTCCAACCACTGGGTTACCTTACCAGGTGGAGTAGATACCCCACAGAGTTCTGATCCAGTTACATGTTTGTGATCATAAAAAATCGGCATTATGTTGAAATTGTTGCATACCAACAAAATACCAGATGAGATTATCCATTAAAATTCTCAGCAACTCATTATAAAATGTTTGGCTTTCATAAAAATCCTCCAATCAGATTCAGTGTTGTCTAAGATATGGTTTTTTTCCAATACGGGTTTTCTTGTGAGCATAATTCACTTGCAAAGAATCATGTCAAACTTTAAAAATAATAAATCTCATTTTTCCAAAAGTGAGCAAAAAAAAAAATCTACCAAGAAAAAAACAAATTCATCAACATTAGCGCTTGAATGTTGCAGGTTGAGAATGGAAAATATGTCTATAAATCTCAGAGAAAGTTAAGCCTATCACCGGGCTTGGAATTGCCTTGTGCTGCTTCTAGTAAAAAAAGATGCTGTCATTCAGTTTGGATGAGCTTCAGTGAGATAACACATAATGAGGGGCCCCCACTGAGGAAGGGATGCCAACAAGGAGGGGTCCAAAAATGGTTTTGATTTAATACAAGGCATGCACTATTAATAAAGAGGTTGAATGATACCTGTGTGTTTTATAGGTTTATAAATTGGCTGTAGTAAAATATTTTACATCTTAGATCACTAGGTATTGTTTCAGCTTATTATGGGAGATATCTATCTAGAGTTGACTGAATTGTATTAATCTGAACCTAGTTTAATGATGCCTTAACATTTTTATGGGGGAATTTAATGTTTGCAATATCCATGTTCCTTATTTGAAAGCGTGACTTATAGGTTTCTCATCTTCCTTAAATTATAAAATCCTTCAGCTAATAAAGGAAAATGATTATAGTTTGCAAAAAAGGCAAAGTCATTTAACAATCCATATAACTGTCTATTGTAGCGCTTTGCATAATAATTGTAATTTAGCTATTAGGAATTCTAAAGGCAGTTATCACTCATACTCTACAATTCTGGGGGAACCAGGCAAAAGCCCAAATTATTTAAAGTATTTTAAATTCCCAAAGGAAAAAAAAAAGCACACCATAAATTTGAAATATGTTCTATGGTGACAAGATATTATTTCATAGGAAGAGGAAAAGTTCATCATAATTTTCAAATATAAACTATCAAAGAGAATATTTTTCTTCTTCTTGAATAAAGATACAATGCAAGTATATTTTCAATAGCACAATTATTATTAAATTGTGAGGAGAGGGTGCACAGACTAAGAAATACCAGTGGCAATGTAGAGTTTGATCAACATGTTGGTAATCCTGGGGCAGCTAAAGCAGAGAAAAAAACTGAAAAAAAGGAAAAAATGGAAATACAGGGGATTACATAAATGTGAAACCATGAGTTTTTACAGAGTTTTAAGATCACTTTACAGTATGAATTGTGAATATTTAGAAACTAGGCAAATGAAATCTCTTTAAAATACAGCTATAAAGTTAGAAAAATAATTACCAGCTGTAAATTTACATTTAAGATAATAAAATATTGAAACTTGAGAAGTTTGAGGTATATTTTCATACACAAACACATATGAGCCTTAAAATTCTTGGGCTGGGTTGGTTGAATGTCTAATTCCTTTAACCATTCTAAAACTCAACTTGGTTGACAATCAGAACAGTTTGAGGTTTTAGGTAAAACAAACATATGTGTCATGGGTGTTAATGTTTTCCAAAATATATCACATAATTCATCTACTTAAAAATTTTGAAATTTGATCATAATAAATGAAGTTTTCTAAGTAAAGCTCTTGCTAAACTTAAACATATATATCATGTTGAGAAACAGAAGTTACCATTAAAAGTACGAAATATCTGAATATTTTCATAGGTGATTGGAATTACAAGGAATATGTAAAGCTCCATAATTTGGTATGATATTTGAATGAACGAGAAATGTTCAAATATTAGATTGAGTAGATAGTTCAGAGGAAAGAGTAATATAATTGCTATAATGTAGCTCTGTAGTTTCACCAAACATTAGACTTTGAAGAATTGGTAAATACCTATGAAACAAAGAATTGATTCTGAAAGTTTTATCAGTGGAGGGTTTTGTGCCAAGAGAAAACATAATCCGATAAAACTATCTTCAAAAAATAGAAATCACATCCACTACAAAGTAGAGAAATGGAATCAAACTGTGACTTGTGCAATTCAGATTTGTATAAGAATAATACAATGAAAAGTAAAAAGAATTATGTACTGAAATAGAATTTAAGAAGGTTGTTGACCTCCTTTTATGACAACTGTGATTGCACATGAAAATAGACTAGAAAACACCTCAAGGTCCTTTTTAGTTCCTTATGTATCTTAGTCTATGCCAATGAATAATATATAACTTAAAAGCTTTACACAATGAAGAAATGGCTTTCAAATGACTTTTTGAAAATATTTGTTCTCTTACATTTTTCATTTTATAAAAGTGAATATAACTTTGTTTGATAATAGTCTAATACTTCAGACAAAGACTATTTACTGCTTACATTATTTATTATTTTTGAGTAACAGCTACTGCGGCACCAATTGTAGAGTGGAAGACACTCAAAAAACACTGTAGCTAAAAATTAGAGGGGAAAAAACTGGTACTTTTGGCTAATAATGCTCTACAAAATGAAGTAATATCTGCACAAAAATTGAAGTCCTTCCATAAGAAGTATAAAATGTAAAATGCCCTTGATGAATGATTTTTACCTTTGATAAGTCAAATCTTACAAATATGAATATTTGATGCAGTTTAGTATATTTTTTAAATCATGGCAGTTTGACACTAATTAATTATGATAACTGAACCCACCATTTTATAATTTTTTAATTAAAATTCTATTTTAATTTGTTTAATGAGATTTACAATGTTAATAAAACTGAAGTCCATGTAACAAGAAATTCACTGTTTCACTAATTATATTAAGAGGTGAAATGTGAAACAAAGTCAGACTTTAGGCTTGTAATATCTTCTGAACTGAACATGTGTAGTTCCTGCAGTGCCAGTTAACTACAATATTTTACAGTGTTAAATTGAGATTTTAACCAAGTTTGGCACAGTCAGAAAACCGGCTGTGTGTCCCTCTCCATGTGACGATGCTTTTCTGAAATAGCCACACATTTTATCTTTGATCACTCAGGATCCATCAAAACCATCTCCTTGTCTTTCTTTAAGTACTCACCCTACAGAAATAAGAGAGATTCAAATTACATACTAACCTGTCTAGTATTCATCAGTAAAGACCATCATGGATAACATAAAAATTCAGTTGTTGGAATAGTTGGGGCTGAATCAAAGAACTGTGAGTTTTAAGAAAAGAAACACAAAACACAGGCTGTATAATGTTCTTCATTAAGTCTTATTTCCTTCCATAAGAATGAATCTCAATTTGGCTTTTACTTTCATGTGTCTAATGGCCAAAGATGCTAAGCATTTTTCTTGTACTCATTGTACATTTGTACATCTTGTGAGAACTATCTGTTCATTTCAATTTCCCGTATTTTGATTGTATTTCATTTTAGAGGGTCTAATTTTTTGTTCTTTGTATATTCTAAATAGTGCTTCTCTACCCAAGGAGTAGATGACACAATGTTTCCATTCTATGTTATCTTTTCACTCTTTGGTTGTTTGCTTTGCATGTGGATGTTTATAATTTAATGTAATCCCATTTGTCATTTGTTGTATTTCTTGTGCAACTGGGGTTCCATTCAGCAAGTCCTTGCCTATGCCTATATCTCCAAGAGTTTTGTCAGTTTTTTCTTCCAGGAGGTTAAATGTTTCTGGTGGATGTTCCATCCATTTTTATTTGATTTTAGTACAGATGAAATATATGGATCTAGATGAATTTTTCTGCCAATGGATAACTAGTTTTCCCAGAACTATTTGTTAAAAAGGATACCTTTTCTCCAGCTTAGTCAGATGTTTTTCTTTAGTTATCATTGTATATCTTCAGTGGTATTAGAGAGGGGGACGGGGTACTGTGATAGGTATTCTATCTTCTAATTTCTAGGGGACCTTCCCTGCCCCATTCTCTCTGATAATCTTCACAGCTGCCTATCTCTTTCCCTTTTGTGTGTGTGTGTGTGTGTGTGTGTGTGTGTGTGTGTGTGTCTTTTTCCTTTTTATCGGTACCAGGGATCGAACTCACGACTGCCTGCTTGCAAGGCAGGCGCTTATGCCGCTGAGCTAAATCCCCAGGCCCTATCTCTTTTCTTTTTATACTGCTCATGTGAGCATACTGTGCAACCACTTCTGACCACAGCTCTCCTTCCTAGCTTTCTGTCCACCCCAAACTGTCTATTGGCATCTTGCAAGGAGTCTCTATCAAAGTCTCTATGAATACAGTGGGTCTCTATGAATACAGTGATATTTAGGGCTTACAGATTACAGCACCTTTTGGCTAGTGGTGGGAGGGGCATCCACTCCATGGGCACAGGGCTGGGTGGGTGTTATTTTGGGGGACAGTGTGCAAATACCTACTCAGCAATGCTTCAGTGTCTTTCTTCTTTCTTTCGTGGATCATGCTAGTGACAACAATCTGCCCACCCCTGCGACTGTTCCACAGATCTCTGTGTCTGGTTCTGGTCTGGTAGCCAGAATTTTGCCCTGTTCCTTTCTTTCCCAAGGTTTTATCAGTCCCAACTTGGTCACTGCTCTCTGAACGGTTTTCTGGCTTTTGGTTTCCTCATACCCTGATCTATGATGATCTCAGTCTTTGGACTCCTTCTCCCAGCGAGAAGGGAGTTGAAACAGGTGGCACTGGATAGTAGTTGCTATGCTGGGCATTGATCTTGGAGC